TTCTGAGTGGCTGAAGCTGCTAGCTCAGGCAGCTCAGCAGAGTGAACAGCAGTGGTTTGGGTGAATGAGCATTTAACCTCCCGAGTCCCTGAGCTAGGTATTGCCTCCTCCCAGTGCCCTCCAAGATCTCTGGTGGCCTGAAGTCTGCCCATCTGCACAAACAGAGCACACCCAATGTGCAAAGCTGACACTTGTGCCCCTGCAAGCTGCCCCACCTCTCCAGACCTGTCCTCTGTCCTTCTTTCTTGGCACAACCATGATTGATAGTGCGTGTTTCCAGGTGATGTGATTTTGGTTTCAAAAACCAAGGTTTTGATCAGCTCTAAAGGACCCATAGTCATGTCGACAGTACTTGCCTCAGACACAACATCCTTTGTAGAGCTTCTCAGTCACAAGATCTGTCTTTGCTGCTCTGTCTCCACAGGACTTTCTAACAATGCAGCTTCACGCTCACACAGGTTTGAATGCCAGGATTTTCCTTTTGCAGACAAACTTCAATGTCTCATAAATTATTGTTAGGAAGATACAAAACCTCTTCAGAAATGCTACTTGTAATTTATTGCCTAGTTTTCCTGCTTGCAATATGCTGTCCACCTGCATGTTATATATGGCAGAAGAAAAGTATAAAGCTGAAATAGCTGCCTGTGTAGTTCCTACAATAAAAGTGTTAGTGAAAAAAAAAAATGAAAAAAATCAAATCTAATACTGTGCTACTGTTATTATATGAACTGCACCCTTATGGGGAAAAATTTTAAAATTTTTCAGACATCTGATGAAAGATTTTAAGAACATATGCTTTAACACCAGAGACTAACAATTACAACATGAGGAAATACCACAGCACAGCCCTTCCAGTGTTATAAGCCAAGGCACTTGTTGCTGGCACAACACATGAGACTCTGCCCAGTTACAGAAGCACCTGTGGCAAAATGTACAAAAACGCAAAGCCCTTTACACAGAAATCACTGCAGGTAGGGGTATTAACACCTTGGTTTCAAGATTTGAACACTTTTGCATGCACTGCTCTTGTTCAAGTCTTTGTTATATTAGATACTTCCAAAAATACATAAATATATTTTGCTTTTAAAGAGATGTATTAAGACAGTTTTAAGGTGCCACAAATACCAAAACAACAACAACAAAAAAAAATCAATGAAAACATCAGATTGTCAAGTTAAACTAACAACAGTTAAAGAAAGAAGCTTTGCTGGTCCAGCTGAGAAGAATGTGAAACAATTCGTATGACTGGCAAGAAAATTAATAAGCACAGATAATACACTCACATGTGTTATTCACATGATGTTTTGGCAGCATCCCAGCAATGCAACAGCGGGAATCTTTCATGATAACTTCCCCAGCTCAGATACAGTGATGGATTTAGCGGAAGATACTACCCAGACTGCGGGATGATTTTCTATCATCTCAAGTGGGAAACACATTGAAGGGCAGCATACAGCTTCTAAGACACAGTAAAGTCAGTGTATGCAGACAGAAATACATGCATTTTCTCCAGTTCATTGCTCAGAGATTTTCATGACAGACTGGAAAATGGAATGAGACAGAGATTTCCTTATTCAATTTTCTCATTTTTTCTCCTTTTCCACATCCTACATGCAGTTGTAACACAATGCTTTTTACTTTGCCTGTAGGGCATATAAAAGAATCCTCTTTAATGGCTGCTTGTCACAGGGCACAAGCAAGTACCTCTGATACCAGTTGTCACAAATCCAAGAAAACTTTTGTGTTACTCTGTCAGAGGCTGAAGAGAAGCTATTACAGTTCAGGGTACTGCCCTCAATAGCTCACAAGACTGAATAAAGCCACAACAACACACTGTAATGCTGATGCAGAAATATATCTTTCCGATATGCATGTGAAAGGAATAGCAGCTTTTGTTTAGTAGTGATGGTGCCTGGTATAAGGAATACAACAGACCAGACACTTCCAAGTAGGTGCATTCCCCAAAGCCCCCTGCAACCCCAATGGACAGACACTGAAGCACTGCACAGCTCCCTCTCCAAGAGAGCAGCACAGTGGCAGCAGGCACACCCACACACGCCTCCACATAACCAGCTCCTGGCTGGGAAACTCTCCCTGAGATACGACTGTAGAGGGTGGCACAGCACAGCTGCAAGGTCAAGCACTTCATCCCAAAGTCTGGAGAAGGCAATCTCTCCCATCTTGGGACAAACAGCCTTGGAGGCTCCCAGTCTGCCTTGTGGGAAGCCAAGCTGCAGCCAGCAGGATGCCAGACTTGGCAATACTGACCATCTGTGTGAATGACTCTGGCTTCTTGCTATCTTCCCCTATTCCCAAGAATAACAGACTGCTATTTTCTACTCATTGAGCCACATGGTTTCAGTTTAGAAACAGGAAGTTGAGAAATACACAACCAAGAGAGTAGAAAACATCAATATTGAAGGCAGGCACTCGAACTCTGCTCACTCAAGTCTTCAGCTCCCACTAGAAGTTTTCAGGGCCCCCTGCTAAGCCTACAGCCATGCCACTGGGAGATCATAAGCAGGTAACAGGAGAAATGCAGGCGTGTTTGTTGAAAATTCAGAGTTACATAAGCTTGCTCTGTTCTCCTAGAAAAAAATTAAGCAACCTATTACTCTGATCATGCATAGAACTCCAGCTGAAAACAGGTAAGCATCTCTGTTTACCATAAACACAGCCCTCCAGGTAATTCTCCATCATCCCAGCACAACACTACAAGCAGGAACATCTCTGCTTATGCTGACACAACACCTGCTTTTTTAAGCAGCAAGACACTGCCAATTTTAAATGTAATGTGGACCGGGGGGAGACACGTGGCAGCAAGTCCCCTCCTCTAACTGACACTGGAGTACCATCTCACAAGGTCTGCTCAGCTCACATCAGAGGCCCCTACCCATGTCAGAGCTATTCATTTACAGAACATTCTCTTTTCCTCTTTGACCTCTGCAGCAAGGACACCCACTATCCTCCACAAATTATCAGTTACTGCTCTCAAACCATTAAGGGAATGACAAATCAGTATTTTAACAAAGGTGGCCTTTATAGCACATGAATAAGAGGCAGAGTGTAACAGACTCAGTGCTGCAGAAGTTTCAGTGTCTGGCAAAAACACTATTCTGTGCAGTGCAGAAGATTATTATCCAACATGCATGCTAATGCCTGACGGTCCCCAAAAAGCACTGAAATACGATCACTAAAATTTATCAAGTCTCAGTGTTTTCAGCCTCCTCCTCAGTCTACCTGCTATAGCAGTAGTATTCTTATCACCAAAAGTTTCTAGAAAGAGTCAGTCTTTTTATTAAAGCAACTGATGCAGTTTAAAACAAAAATAGCCATTTTCTGGATCAGCAGCACTTCCCATACCTTGTATCTTGTCACCGTATTTACCCCAGCACAAAGGAAGAGGCAGCTGCTCAGCACTGTCATTTTAATTCACCCACACTTACTACCTTACCAAGACTTTACCCTATTTAGACAATCGGGTTGTTCACACCGGTCTCTCAGCAAAGACATCAAAAGCAAAAGGCACTTTTTTTTCCCCCTTTCAGGTAGAGCTAGGCGTGAATCTGGGATGACTGGGACAGATCACGGCACTGCCCTGGACAGAGATGGTCTCCCCATCGCTACCCGAAGGGGCTGCCAGATCAGCATGACAGAGGAAAGGAGGCGAACACTCTCCTTCCCTCATTCTGCTATTTCACCATGACATTTAATTATCCAAATGAGGTCTCCAACAGCTATAGGAACAGGAAATATAAAACCAGGACAACTATAATGGCTTCTAAACACAAAATGCAAGATTATTATTTTTACTCAGAGAGTGCTAGCATACTTCTTGCACTACACTAAATAAGCCCATTAGTATTAAACATGCCCATCCACTTTGACCATAGACGCCTGCCTTCCTCTTCTCCCTTCATGTTGCATAAACAACTGCAGCCGAGCAGCACTGTTCTCCCTGATGCATATAGGGCAGGGTTGTAAAACCTCGCAGCATCCCACAGCCACCTCTCTCCCTGCAATGAAAGCTTGAGAGAGTTTAAAGCCGCTTTTTTCGATAACAAATGCATCGTTAGAGCTGGCAGACAAGGAGAGACACCCCCGAGTCAGCAGCACCGAAGCCCACACCTGCCTGGGGGGCTTCACCAGCAACCCACCCTCCTGCTCCAGGGCGGCATCGGCCTGACCCAACACCCCGGGGACCTGTGACACCAGGGACGGCAGCCAGCCCGCAGCTGGCCTCCCACAGCAGGGGCGCGCCCCGCTCCCGACCCCGCGGTGCCTTCCTCCTCATCCTCCTCGCAGCAGTAACCCCGACCAGCACGTTCCCCGCAGCAACGGCCCCACGCCCGCGTCCCAGTCCCGCCTCGCAACCCGCCCCTCCGCCCCACAGCGTCCACGCTCTCTCCCACCCGCACGGGAACGTCCTCGACCGCCAACCCTCCCACAACCCCTCACTCCCCCTACCCACCCACCCACCCACCCACGGGAGCCCCCTCACCCCCTCCACACACCCCACGGGGGCCCCCTCACCCCCTCCACACACCCCACGGGAGCCCCCTCGCCCCCTCACCCCCTCCACACACCCCACGGGAGCCCCCTCGCCCCCTCACCCCCTCCACACACCCCACGGGAGCCCCCTCACCCCCTCCACACACCCCACGGGCCCCCCCCCCCCACGGGAACCCCCCGCCGCCTCTCGGTACCTCAGCCGCTACCCGTCTCGCGCTGCCGGCCGCACCTGCTGCGCACCCCGCGGCGGGCGGTGACGTCAGGCGGCGCGGGGCCGGGCGCAGCGGGAGCGGAGGTGAGGGGCCGGCGCCCGCCTCCGGGGGGGCGTGGCCGCGCCGGCCGCCGGGCCGCGCCCCGGGGCGGGGTCGCAGCCGCCCGGCTCTGCCGGCGGAGCGGCCGCCCGGGCCACGGGGCGCTGGGTCCCCCGCCGGCCCCGGCAGCCGCGGGGTCACGGAGCGGGTGCCCGCCCGTGGGAGGCGGGGGCTTACCGAAAGTTGAGCCAAGTGAGGTCTTCAAAAGGGGGAACTGAAACAAAAAAGTCAAGCGCGGCCGGGTGAGAGCAGAAGGAAGGAAGAAGCAAAGCCGCTGCGCAGAGGTCGGGTGAAGGTGGAAAGGAGGGGGGGCTCACCCCCCTGAAATTAAAGGAGGGCTCTGCCTCCGCCTTGGCTGTGGCAGGCGCCGGCGGGGCAGGCAGCAGCAGCAGGGCTCGGAGGGCCTTGTCCCCACCAGGGAATGCCCCGGGCACGGCGGGGCCTGGGCTGGGACCCGCAGTCCCCTGGGTGCCCTTGGCCTCCTTCCCGTTCCCTGCGGGGGCGCTGGGCTGCCCGGGGCACACAGGCTGGTGGCCCGGGTCTTTGCAACGCGCCTTGTCACCTTCTGTTGATAACAGGAGACGTGCGCAGGGAGAACGTCCAAGCGCAGAGACTGGGAAAGCAATTACTCTGGTTTGTCCGGATGAAATAGGTCAGGGACACAGGTCAAAGTATTAAATTACCGTTCCTGCTCTCCGCACATGACGGTGACTCATGGTGGTGACGGGTGGCGAGGGGATGGCCGTTGCCACCCACAGTGTGACGCTGTGCCTGGCAGGCGTGGGGTGGGGCTGGGGGCTGCGGGGGGGCGTCTGTGGCCAGGGGGTGATGGTGGTCTGCGGGGAGTGGGGCAGCAGGGTCCTGCTCCTGTGCTGCACTGCGAGCTGAAATCAACTTCCTCTTCCCCTTCACCGATTAGCAGATCTAATCAGGGCAGTTTAATACTGGATTCTTAATGAGGCTGAGCCAGGAAGAAATTATTTCAATTAGTTACATGGCATGCTGTATTCTTGGGCAAGAGAAAAACAAGATATGCAGCTACCACAGCTCTGTAGGAAGAACCCAGCACCCTAAGTGCATTCTAAATGAAACTTCCTGGCTGATGGGAGGTGCGGGAGACATCGAAGAGCTCTTCCCAGGCAGCCGGCTGCTCCGGCAGAGCCTGCAGTTCCCTGGATGCAGGGAATGAATCGTCAACCCGCCATTCCCCAGCCTCGTCTGCCATAGCCATGCTGCCCTCCTTGCACCTGGCAGAGCCTCCCAGGAGGCAGTTTACTCCAAAAAATGGGAGAAAACTAACAGAACAACAACAAAAAAAATAAGCCAAAAAACTACTCTGCATTATTTTTTGCCCTGCCAGTGAGTCCCAGTGACTTGTGCAAAGGGCATGAGGAACAGCAGGGTTGGTGTGGAGGGGGCAAGGGGAAGGTAGCACACATAACGGTGTGAGGAGGGGCCGCTGCTCCCCTGCCCTGTGAGCTGCAGACTAGTTCACTCATGTGCAGCTTTCTTTGCCCTACGATATTATTTACATATGCATCTGTAAATGATACTGCCTGGCCAGGTACCTTGGAGCCGACACAATATACATTATTCCTCTGGTTAACATTAAACTTGTCTTGGTCCTTTATTCCAGTGCCAGTGGGCACATACTGTCTTGTTAAACATTAACTGAGAAAGCAGCTTGAAAAACATTGCTTGGCTTCATTAGAATCTTAAAATGACACTTGAAGCTTAAATCTCTTTATTACCTAGTTTGCACATACTTCAAATATTAATGCAGTCCAGGCTTTAAAGCTCTTATTACCCTTCCAGCAGAAGTTATATATTATTTTCTATGTGCAGATATCTTTACTGTACCCTGGAAACAAGGCTGGGCTACAATGCCGTACATCATATTGGGACTTAGCTCCCACCAAGAGTAGGCAAGCCAGCTTTCCCCTGGGACGAGACGAGGCAGGTCTCTTGCTGAGCAAGGACACATGGAGGGTATGTTCTCCCAGTTTCCATTGGGTGCTGGGAGCATCCTGGAGGTGTTACACATATAGAACTAACGGGTTCACATGAGCTCCCATACAGCCTTCACTACACACTTGCATGCAAGTGCAATGTGGCCAGTACTGAGTCACAGCCAAGGGCAGGAAACTCCTGAGATGCACCATCGTGGTCGTTTGAAAGTGTTCTCCGATATGCTGAAAGACAGACCGGCTTTTGCACTACAAAACCAGTCCCCTTTGCACTTTTACTGGTGATTTTCTCCCTTGCTTTCTCCTGTTTCCTAATATGACCTACTGTTATTAGCAGAAGTGGGAAGGGAGGTGTGAATCCTCTTTACTGGGAAACCTGTGTTGCCTGGAAACTCTGATTTAGCAACATTTATCTTCCCTAGCCCTCCCCACGCCTGACAAACTCAGTGGCTCTATAATCACAGCTTTTGTCTTTGGTGTTTACTTTTTTTTTTTTTTTTTTTCATTCTGATTGCCTGAAAGACACAAACCAGAGGGAAGGACTTGACCTTGCAGGGAACGAATGCAGAAACTGCACCTACACAGCACATCAAGCTTCAGAGAAGTGGTGAACCATAAGAAGGGGAACAGCAGAGTGCAAGACCAGTGCCCAGAGGACTTGCGTTGGTTTCTTGCCCCCATTCTTGCTGCCTTTCACACCTCTTTCCACACAGTCATTTTGTTAAACCTGTTGCAAAAGCTTTGTGAAACCCTCCACTGTCTTGCAAGATGGTTATATGAGACTACATGTGGCAAGAAGGGCAGGGCAGGGCATTCATGCTGGCTCCTGGTTTTGGCAGAGGTGTCTGCAGGACAGAAGGGATCAGGGAATCCTCATCCTTTTCTCTGTGACAGTGCCAGCTGAAGAGATCCCAGTCCATCCCCACACTCCCACCAGCCTGTGTGTTTGTTCCTACCACATGACAGCACCTATGCACAAAAATATCCTTAAGGACCTCGTGGGCAGTTCCAGGACCGATATAACACCTCAAAATGAAAATGCTGCCCGGGAGGATGAAGTCAGTGGATCTGCACTCCGTGTGCTCAAATCCCAAGGCCTGCCTGGGTCAAAGGTCTTTCTTACCTGAACTAACATGAAATTTTTCTGACTTCCATGATAAAAATTAGCAGTTTAAAAGTTCAGGGCTATACTTCCTTTCAGGGACACAGTTGGCTTTAGAAGAAGGTATTTGCCCTGCTAGGAGCTGTGCCTGACTGTCTGATCTGAATTAAATGAGTGCTGCTGAATCTGGGAGTGGATGGGAGCGATAGTCCTGATGGCAAACCATGGTCCTGTGAGCAGAGAAGCAGCAGCGACCCAGGCTGCTAAACCCAATTGTGAAGTGGGCCACTGTTACGCTGGTCGGTCCAGGCTGAGTCACACCCTGATGGCATGATGCTGTTGAACAGATACAACATCCCTTCGTATCTCGCCGGCTTTGTCCGGGTGAATTTAAGCCCTGTGCTCTAAAAACTGGCTTTGTGACAGAGAAATGATGGTTGCTCATCCCTCTTTCACCAGAATAGATTCTGGTGTGCTTCCCACTGACTTACAAAACCCTTCAACTGATCCGTGTCTCAGTTGCCCTGCCTGGTGGTGAAATGGAGTATTACCGGCAGCATCTTTCCCTCTTCCCCTCTTCAAAGGTCTGGGTAGCACCACTTGCTCGAAGAGTGCAGAAGGCTGTTACATTGCTGGCTGTGCCCTGACCCCATGCAAGATAGTCCTGAAGTTGATCTTCTCATCTGCTCACATGTCGCAGGGCTCTGAGTCCTTCCCAAGCTGCCATCCGGTGCTGGGTCTCCCTGAAGACTTGAGTCTCTGCGCTCCGTCATGCTCAGTGTCTTTCGATCTCAGTATACTTCATACTCATCTCTCACTCCCACCCAGTAAAGTAAGAGTTATACTGGAAGATAAGATAGGAAGGCTGTTATATTTGGGTGTGTGAAAATAAAACATCATCAAGGGCCAGGCTGATTACTAATGGAAGAAGAGCAGATGACCCAGCAGGGCCCTAGGCTTAAGGACCCCCATGTGAAGGTGCCTGCTGCAGGGGAAGCTAGAGCCATAGCTCTTCTGCTATACCAGGGCAAGAGAGGCTTGGGATGTATCTCAGATATATGAGTGTTCCCTGCACTCCAGTGTGGCTGGTAGAAGTAGATCATTTTACTGTGCCTCAGCCTTTCAAGGCTGCATGCTGTTGAAAGGACAACATAATTTATACAAGAGAAAGCATGCAGAAAAGCCACAGGATTGAGTTCAAAAGGCAGATGTGATCACTTTGCTCTCCAGCTGGTGTATTCCCAAGGGCTGTCACTGAGAGGTTTGGGCAGACAAACGCTGGTTGCTCTCAAGAAGACGGCTTAGTCCATCGCTCTTACAGCCATCAGAGCTGAGAGAGCTGATAAGGAAATACCTATTACCTCCTTGATGGGCTATTCTGCAGCAGGTGAGGCAGAGCACATTTCACTTCTGCTGACTTTGCTCCAGAGGTGTTTAAGCCACGGGAAACCAAGAGAGCAGCAGCAATAAGCCAGCAACAATACATCATTCCTGGGCTGGCCTGACTGTGATTCAGCAGAAGAGATCGATGGGGGCTTGCCAGACCAGATGTGGGCTGCAGAAATCTTACCTCTGTTTAGGCTGCAGGGCCCCTGTGTGGTTTTCTCTAGGAACTCTGAGCAATGCCAGAGAGCCCTGCTGGCTGCATGGGACTGCAGGAAGACGTGGAGACCAGCAGCACTGCAAGCCTTGGATGCAAAGGAGTGGAAAAGGCATTGGAATGGTCTGAAAGTGATCTTTGTAGAGTCAGAGCAGCTCCCAGTCAGATAGCTAGAGAAATTCAACTGTGGAGACAGGATTTGCAGCTCTGTCATATTTGGAGTGCCTGGTGCCCACGATGTTGATGCTCTGCAGAACATACTGGCTGCTGTGGGAGGCCAGGCAGCAAGTGCTGTAATGACTGCAGAGGGGAATTGTCCCTGAGAGGTGCTATTTTAAGAGGGGCCTCACAGATGGGATAACCTGCTCTTGCCATAGTCCAGGCTCTCATGGCAGGGCTCTGTGGATCTAGCCCTCTAAAGGGCCAGGATTTTAATCTCCCATCAGGATCCTGTTTCATTACCCTGATACTGGCTCCTGCACAGCTAAGAGGCTGTCGGCAGAGGCCTGGTGTTTGGAGATTGGTAGGGCAGACCAGCACTGCTCTAATATAAACAGGATCTGCTTAGCTGAACTGGTGCAAAAAAGCTTCAAAGCAGCCATAACTCAGCCTCAGAGCAACCCCATCGGGGTCTGGACCCTTGGGCAGACCACTGCTGCCTCCTTGTACTGTAGGAGTGAGGGCTGGACATGACCCAAATTCCCACTGCAAAGAGTGTGATACGCATGGAGTATGGCATGTGTCCATGTGGACGCAATGCTCCGAGCCCAGGCAAGTCTGGGGAGAA